GGGTTAGGGATCTTGAGTCTGCAGTGTCTCTGCAAAGACTCTGCTGATCTACTTATCTTCCCTGAAGGCACACAAGTCTTCTCATCCCTTCCCACAGCTCCTTCACCTGATAACTCCATGCCCAGGGCACATTTCCCCGGGGAGGGGGGGGGCGGTGTCCACTGTCTCCAGCCTCAGGAAGAGGCAGCAGGCACTGCCTGCCACTCAGAGCTTGGACAGCAGCATACTGTCTCTCTCTTGATTTCCATCTGTGCTGAAACCTGTAATACGCTAAGGACAGTTGTCCTAGGTAGTGCCACAGACCATGGCCCATGGCATGTCAACTTATTCTCCATTGCCAGACAAATCAGGGATTTATGGACAAGGAATTTGGTTATAGACAAGCAAGCCATATGAGACTTACAAGCATGAGAATCTTTATGGGTTAAAACAACAAGAAATCTGAGAATAATACACAGTAATCATTACAAAAGGCTTCCTCAACTACTAACATCTGAAAGTTAATACGAAGCCAAGTGTATTTTTATCTGGCTAGTTAAGCAACACTGTCTATATGAGCATTAGTTGTATTTTCCACAGGTATTCTATTTGATTTGGAAAATGAAGTGAGCGAATGAGACTGTGAAACATTCATTTTAAAAATTATTGTAAAAAACTTGTTAACGTGATATCATCTAGAAAGAAGGACAGTAAAATTCAATCTGTCAGCTCATAGTAACCTCTGAAGTTTTGTTCTTTTGAGTCTACAAACTGGGGGGTAAATATGTTATTAGGGCCTGGATGATGTTCTAATTTTATAAACAGGAAGACTAAATTATTCCTAGCTTAAAAATAAAGTTTAAAGCCCATACAAAGGAACATTAATTTGGCGTTATACAGAAGAAAGGTATAACAACTTGATTTTCATGAGAAGGTAATGAAGTAATTCTGTCTATAATCACTGGAATCAGCGTCTTAGCCAGAAGGAAGAAAGTTTTAATTTTTGATACTCATGAGACAGTCCATGTTTCATCAAAGCAAAATAACATCCAAATATATTCCCAATAAGACTGACTAAACAAGAAAAAAATAAAGAGAAGAGAAATGAGTATTTCTTTTAATTTAAATTTTTGGAAAGTATTAATTCTGAGGAGCCTACTTCACCAATAAATTTCTAAGGTAATATAGGGTTTAAGAATAAAAAAAAAATTATAAACCAACATTTTTTACTGCTATTGTCTCCAATGTCTTCTTAAAAGGGAAGAAAACTGGAATTAAATGCTGAAACTTTTGTTGAAAGATGTTACTACGGAACATTAGGTAGATTCTTGGGAACCCTTATATTTTATCCTTAGCAAGATACTTGCTACACAAAAAAAGAACTTAGTATGCTCAAGTCTCTAAATGTATCATTCACTGTATCATTACCAGCATTCAGTCAAAATAAGGATTTATTCTTTCCAGTTTTTGGAAGATGAAAGACAACATATACAAGAAAAAACTCACTTTATAAATCACTTTGAAATTTGAATATGTTATATGCTCTTCTATCCTCCAAACCACACCTATAACGTGTTCTGTTTTTTCTAAATTATTCATTCCATGCCAGACAGCAACCACTACTTGGTTCTTCAGACATTTTGCTTCTAGAAATGTTAACAGACAACTTACCCAGTTAAGAAAATCACTTTAAAAACTACATACTTTGATGATGCATTAATTTTATTTCTGTTTCTAAATCCCAACTGCAATTAACTTTAAAAAATACCAAGACAAGTTATATTTTCTTGAGGATTTCCAGATTCCTGAATCAGCCTGTTTACTCTTTTTTTCTTCCTTGGTCTGAAGCTGTACTAGGGGCTGCCAGGTAGTTGGTATTTTGACAACCATAAGTTGTTCTTCAATTGTATAAAATATGTTCAATTACAAATTCGTCTCAAAGTGAAATACCCATGTTTTTAAAGTATAATATGTTGACTGTGTTCCTGAAAAAATTGCATTATTCACTCTTTTATAAACTACCAGAAACATTGCCATATTAAATACTGACCTATAAGTTTATACAGTGTAAAAGCTATTTCATAGCAGAAGTCACAAAATTAGGTCCTAAAGTAACAACAACGAAGTGTTGAATAAGTAACCAGTAAAACTTTCAATATATAAACAATCACTTAACTATTGTACCTCGAGGATAGGGCTCCAGTTGAGAACTGATGAGCTCATGAATACCATCCCATTCCTTGAAACTGTAGCTGGAGAAGCATTATCAATATTATGAGGTTCAAAGACTATTTTGCAATTTGGTGCCATAGGTATCCGATCTCCATTTGCTAGTGTTAGAGTTCTATTATCATCCAGGACAGAATTAAGATTCTCAATCCAAATAGCATCAACTGGACCATCAAGAACTATCCAGATGTGGTCACCTATAATCCAAAATAACAGATAAAAATGCCTACAGACAAAGTTCTAGTTTCTTTCAAGGACCAGTTTTTTTCTCTATGCAAACAAATTTTGAACTAATTCTGAATTCACACACACACCTAGAATCTTTTAATATAATGAACATTTCCATCACTCAATTTCAATTAAGTACTTCATTTCATCACCTATTGATAATAATTATCCATTGCTCAGTATATAAAGTGTCATCAGCATAAGTTTGTAATGGTCTGAAACAGTTTTATGGATCCAGTCTTCAACACAGTAATAATGGTTTATTCCAACTTACATAAAACAATGTAAAGAAGATAGAAACTACAGATGTATTTAAAACCACCATTCATTTGTTTCCAAAGAGTTTGTGTAAATGTAGTGAACACTTGACAAAATCACTCTTTCAAATAGCATGCTTGATATACTGTAGAAAACAAAATTTTCCACTGAGTGAGAACGGTGAGCCATGCAAAGTCTCGTGACTGAAGGAGTGCGCTGCTGAGGAATGCAGAATACGATAAAGAACCACCAAAACAATAAGATATGGAGACTGATCTCCAAGCTGGTCTCAGACAGTTGGGGTCCAGAAACTTACAAAACTGTGTCCTTTAGATGAACTTAGCTCATTAGAATCTCATTATAATGCTAAAAACCACACCCCTAGGAGGAGATTTTAGATGCAAATTTAGGACTACTTTAGTGTAATGAAGTAACTAGGTAATGAGACATGCGCAGATGAATTTTTGTGATCATAGGTAACCAATCATTTGCTTTTGGGTAGTTTCTTCTTTGTTTCTATCTTGTATAAAAGCTGCCTTGCAATCTTCAAGGGTGTGCTAGGTTTTGTGGGACTACCACCTAGCACCCATCTCTGTACAGACATGGAATAAAATGCCTCTGCTCTGTGCATATATTGGCATATTGCACACCGGGTGAACGAATCCCACTTTTGGGACAACATGCTCACTTTCATAAGTAGAAGAGGTCCATTAGGGGAAGACTCTTGTTGTTCGTTCTCCTGCATGCAAACTTGATCCAGGTCCCTTTGAAGTTTTTCCAGCTCTTTCCATTTAGTAACAGAAATGCATCTTAAAGCCTGCCTCTGTTTCCTAGGGTCTGGGTCTGTCCTCCTCACCTCACTTGGGTACCGAGCAACAGACCCTAGCTGAAAAGGGTTCCCCGCTTCGCTTCTGGCTCCCTGTCCCTTAGAGAGTAGCCAGCCCTGCTATGCATTGCTAGATAGCCCTTTCATCAGAGATGGTCCCACTCTCATCCGACTTCAGAGTAAGTCCTTACTGTCTAGCCCTAGGTGGCTCGGTGCATTGCTAGATATGAATCAAGAAGGTCCCAGATGAGAAACTTTCTCACCTCTGAGGCAAATAGTTTTATATTTAGAGGCTTTTCATAGCTACAGTGCAGGCATCTCAGGCATGAGATGGTCTGGAGTTTGCTTCCTAAAGAGACATTACAGAAGTAATGTGAGTGTGCTAATTTATATTTCATGTTGAGGGGAAAAATAGAAAAATCAACAGTTCATGCTAAGCTACATTCTCAAGGGTGCTACATTTCTAGATTTGAAACAAAACCAACAAAATTAAATCCAAAAGTATCTTCTATTTTCAAAGTACCTGTGTCCTTAAAGACTAAGAATTTTTGTACGAAAATTGACAGTGCAACAAACGTTAGGATTTGCTCTTTTTTTTTTTTTTTCCTTTAGTCCTTAAGGCCTAGTGATAAGGTCACATTCTAATATTCAGACAAAACAAGGAAGAATCTATCCAGCATCAAACTATGAAGGCCTCTCTTTTAGTTAATATAGCAGTTTAAGAATATATGCCAGCATTATTTTAGGCAGAAATTGGTTGCCTAAATAGAATTATCTAGTGCCATTTGAGATGGACTATGGTATGTGGAGGGCTAGCAGGTATGACACAGAGGAGATTCACACCCTTCTAGTACAGCAGCTGGAGACCAGGTACAAATCCTAACGGCACCAAAATTTTTTATAGTATATCAGTGTTGGGGGAACTGAATCTTACCTTCCACTTCTCTTCCATACAAGGGCCTGTCATTTGAAAGACAGGGATCAGCAAATTCAGTGAAACAGTGATTGCTACACTACACAGTTTGAACACAAATTTTTCAGAATAGATACTATACAACACACAGAACCTCTTGCAGCAATATTCCAATGCATCCATGTAAGTAAAAAAAAAAAAAAGTCTACTAATGTGCTTTAGAGAGATGTCCTGCAGCTTAGTTTGTTTTGCAGGGAATAGTTTTTCATTATACCTTTCTTGGCTCTTAAAGTTTTTCTCCAGAGTGTTGAAAATATTCCATCTGTCCAATCATTTGTTGCCACATCGAGACGACCAAACATTTGCGGAGCAGTTATAGCTTTAGGATTCATTCTCATTTCACGATGTGGCTGTCCACAATCTATGAAGACAGATCATCGGTTAGTTTTGGTATTTCTTTTCAACACAAATTCAAAATAATTACACCCAAATGTAGGGTTTAATATGCATTCACCATCGTAAGAAGTTATGTATTTACTTGGAAAACTTATCTCTTGCTATACATCAATACTTATTAATTGGAGCCATCAAAATTGAAAGTAGAAAAAAATTCTGAAACTTTTGAAAGTACAATTCACATTTCATAGACTCGTCAGGAACAGAAGAGCAGCAAGATAAAATTTATTCAAGGTTTAGTTTAATATTTTGAAGGCTTATCAAACAATAGAGCTTTAAAGCCTTTGGTTTGGATGTACTTTTTTAAAAACCAGTGGCTAAATACCAGACAGATGCTCCACATGACTAATTGGGGTTTTTTTATTTTCCCCATTGTGCACTTGCATATATCTCAGAATAGGCAAAGTATATGATATTGGCATATCCCTGTGAAGTCTCTTCACCAGCTAAATTCTATCTAGCCAAATCATGATCATATAACATTTCTATTTTCCTCATTAACAACAGCTTAGAAACTCCTATGCCAGACATCTTTAGAAAACCCAATATTAAAACTTAAGAAGATGTTGAAAGAGCAAGCTAAAAAAGGCTTATTTTAAAATCTTAAGTATAATCAGAGTTCACAAACATGCAAGATAGAAGCCTGGCAAATCATGTAGTTTTACATTTCATGAGGTTATGCCAGAAGATCAGCTTGAAAAAAGTATTGTGGCAGTGTTATCTTGGTAGTAGTTCACATCTCAGTGCTACAGAAATATAAGAAGATAGTGTAATGCAACTATTTGTTCTTTTGCTTTTTTTCCTAAATGGAACAGCCATTTACGCTGCAATGTAGAGCTTACAGTGTTTCTTAAGCACACTAATGTACTGCATGCATGAGAGGCTGGTTGAACCTTTTTTTACAGAAACTATCCATTTCTGGAAAATTGTATAAGCAGCCTGCTGAAGCCTGTGAAATGGGGTAACACAAGCGCACCTCAAAAGAGAATTTTTTCTCCCCCAGCTATGAGTTTTTAGTTTAATAAGATCAAATAGAAGTTCTTCCACTAATATTTTTGTTTAGAAATACAGAGGAGAAATACACACACTCCTCAAGCCTCCAGCCAGGACACAAAATGAATACTCTTGAAGGCTGTCACTGCCTAAACCATGAACTATCTCCTAGCAAGTAACAGTAGTTATTTTATACTGTACATAAATACACTGTTTTGTGAACTGTGTTCAAAAAGGACTAAATACTTATGTTTAGGGGAAGGTTTCAGCATTATTTCAGCCAAACCTGGGAGATGCTTTAATCACTTGTCCAGGCTGTCTACCCAGACAGTACTCCTTTTTCTCAATGTTTCTATAATAAGAACTTCTGCTATAAGTATTATAATATGGTAAACAGGATATATATTAAGTGACTTTGAATGTCAGACATTTTTAAGCTTTTAAAAGATACTGCCACAATAATTAGTATCACAACACACAAACTGAATCTTCCAGTAATATATTCTCACAGTGAAGTAATTGAGGTTGTCTATGAAGAAACAATGTAGTTTAAAGCTTACAATATAACAGTTTAATAACAGTTTACAGTATAAATACTCACATACCTGTCATGGCTCTCATTAAAGTGTGAATGCAAACAGTTTTTCCTGCACCACTAGGTCCTAGTGTCATCAACCCATGCCTTACTCTCTGAGTTTCAAAAAGCTGTATAACTTTCAGTTTCCAAGGAGGATGACAAACAAGTCCAGCTTCCTCCACCTATAGACAGCAAAAGAAAAATCAAATTACTATTATTTTAGTGCACAAGAGGTTTTGCTGTTTTTTAAAAAAAAAAAAAGAAAAAAAGAAAAAAAAAATCTATCCTCAGCAGAAGACCACAGTCTTCATAAAGATTTTGTGTATATAAGAAACTGCTTGGAAAAAGAAGGGATATTCAGAAAAATAAAAGATAAACTTTTTTTTTTTTTTTAGTTTTTCTTAGAGTTAAAATATAATTTTAAGGAAAAGCCAACAATTTTAGAAACACTTTTGCTAGGAATGTCTTTCATAGCCACACAGCGTTTTCACTTGCCTTTCAGTACAGCTATCTTTTGATAATGATGATGACTTCTGTTCCTAAATGCTTAAAATAGCCAAAAGTTTTTCTGTAATACATTTTGTTAAATATTTCTCAGTGTACAGACAGACCTCTGAGTAGCTTCTTAATATCATGCTTCTAAGAAAAGACATGATGTTTTAGAATCAAATATCATATGCTTGTTTACTACTTTTTACTAGTTCCAAGCTTAAAAAAGTTTTCTTAACCCGGGTAACAGACAGCCCTACTAGACCTGATGGTCACCAATGGAAATGAGCTCACTGGTGATGTCAAGATTGGAAGCAGCCTGTGCTGCAGTGATCACACACTGGTGGAGTTCACAGTCCTGAGGGATAAGGGTCATGTGAGGAGTAAAGTCAGGACCCTGACTTTCAGGAAAGCAAACTTCCAGCTCTTCAAGGAGTTAGTCAATAACATCCCCGGGAAACTGCCCTCAGGGACAAGGGAGCAGAGCAGAGCTGGCAGACCTTTAAGGACGCTTTCCATAGAGCACAAGAGCTCTCGATCCCCAGGTGTAAGAAATCAGGCAAAGAAAGGAAAAGACTAGCATGGCTGAGTCATGACCTGCTGGTCAAACTAAAGGGCAAGAAGGAAATGCATAGGCAGTGGAAGCAGGGACTGGTTATCCTGGGAAGAGTATAGGGACACTGCCCGGTTGTGTAGGGATGGGGTCAGGAAGGCCAAGGCTCAGCTGGCACTGAATTTGGCAAGGGAGGCAAAGAATAGTAAGAAGTGCTTCTTTAGGTACGTTAACCAGAAAAGAAAGGTTAAAGAAAGCATACCCCCTCTGATAAGCAAAACTAGGAAGCAGGTAATAACAAATGAGGAGGAAGGTAAGGTACTTAACAACTTTTTTGCCTCAGTCTCCACTGGCAACCTCACGCCTCATGCCTCCCAGGTCAATGGACCACATGGCGGGGACCGGGGGGTGCGGGGGGCAAAGTCTCTCCCACTGTAAGTGAAGATCAGGTTTGAGACCACCTGAAGAACCTGAACATACACAAGTCTATGGGACCAAATGAGATGCACCGAGTCCTAAGGGAATTGGCTGATGCAGTTGCTAAGCCACTCACCATGATATGTGAAAAGTCATGGCAGTCAGGTGAAGTCCCTGGTGACTGGAAAAAGAGAAACATTGCACTCATTTTTAAAAAGGGTAGAAAAGAGGATCCTGGGAACTACCAAGCTGTCAGCCTCACCTCTGTGCTGGGGAAGATCATGGAACAGATTCTCCTAGAAGCTATGCTAAGGCACATGGCGGACAGGGAGGTGATTTGAGACAGTCAGCACAGCTTCACCAAGGGCAAGTCCTGTCTGACCAACCTAGTGGCCTTCTATGATGGAGTGACTGCATCAGTGGACAAGGGAAGAGCCACGGATGTTATCTATCTGGACTTCTGCAAGCCCTTTGACAGTCCCCCACAACATCCTTCTCTCTAAATTGAAGAGATACGGATTTGACGGGTGGACTGTTTGCTGGATAACAAATTGGTTATCTGGTTGCATCCAGAGGGTAGTCAATGGTTCAATGGCTCGACGTCCAGATGGAGATCAGTGACAAGTGGTGTCCCTCAGGGGCCCATACTGGCACCAGTGCTGTTTCATATCTTCCTTAATGACACAGACAGCGGGATCAAGTGCACCCTCAGCAAGTCTCCAAATGATACCAAGCTGAATGGTTCAGCTGACACGCGTGAGGGACGGGATGCCATCCAGAGGGACCTGGACAAGCTTGAGAAGTGGGCCTGTATAAACTTCAGGAGCTTCAACAAGGTCAAGTGCAAGGTCCTGCACCTGAGTCGGGGCAACCCCAGGTATCAATACAGGCTGGGGGATGATATGATTGAGAACAGGTCCATGGAGAAGGACTTGGGGGTACTGGTAGATGAAAAGCTGGACATGACCCAGCAGTGTGCAACTTGCAGCCCAGAAAGCCAACAGTATCCTGGGTTGCATCAGAAGAAGCACAGCCATCAGGTCAAGGGAGGTGATTCTGCCCCTCTCCTCCGCTCTGGTGAAACCCTATCTGGAGTACTGCGTTCAGTTCTAGGGACCCCAACACGAGAAGACATGGACCTGTTGGAGCAGGTCCAGAGGAAGGCCACGAAGATGATCAGAGGGCTGGAGCACCTATCCTATGAGGACAGGCTGAGAGAGTTGGGGTTGTTCAGCCTGGAGAAGAGAAGGCTTCAGGGA